AATCCGAAAGCTGACAGGACCTTGAACGAAATTCTTGCACTTGTGCGGAAACTGATTCATGAGTTCGCCCAATTTTCAACATTTCTTCAAGAGTAACATCAGCTTCTAAATATTTGGCCCTTAGTTTATCATCGTTTTCGGTCGCATACACTATTTGATCCATTATCATTTCATTGACTTGATCTTCGAAGTTACATGCTGTTGCTTAAGTTTTGAGGCGTAGAACAAATGTATCCAATTTTTCCTTGGGATTAAACTTGAGCTGACGGAACTTGTATCTCTCGTATCGGAGTGACATCCGAGGTGAGAAATAATTATCCAATATCTCCATTGCCGCCCGGTAACGATTGTCCAAAATGCTTCCAGATACCTCCAGATTTTTCGCAATTTTCCGAACGTCCGGTCCACCGAAACACATCAACATTGTATAGCTCATCGTGGTCATTAACACCTTTTAGCGCAAGGTATGATAAAAATTGTCCTTTCCATTCTTCCCATCGCACAGATGTAGGACCGTCGCCAGACTCGTTAAATGGCAGTATATTGAAATTCAGCTGTAAGTAAAATTTTCTGAATATTTGTTCGCATTAAACCACACACGATTTCATTGATTGACTTTTCACTAGCTTTATCTATTTTCAATTAATATAAGAATTATAATTTAATTTTAAAATAAATTTACATAGCGGACTGGAACCCGAAGTTTCCTTCGCTTTTCCCTTATATGGGATCAGTCAAATAGCCTGGAATCTTTGTTCCCTTCATTTGACTCTCTAAATGGCCTAGAACTTGTATTCCCTTCATTTAGAGACACTTCAATTGCCTCACCTCAGTAGACTTTCAGACAAATGGCCTGGAATTATTATTCCCTACATTTATCTACCTAAATGGCCTGGATATTTTTCCATAATTCCCTTCATTTAGGTTCTGTTTTCAACATTGAAAGATTTAAAACTTCACATTTTCCAAAATGAATGTACAAGTTATATTAGTGGAACTCAAACAACTGTTACTAAGAAAAAAAAAAATTCGTTACCGTGGACATGTTGACGTTTCAAACAATTTTCACAACTTGAAGAAAATTTCCGTCCAATCGACTTGTGATGCCTTGCTGCTCTAACCTTCGCCCTCGTCTTATTTGATGAACTTCAAATTGTTTTTACACACGTACGGGTAACGTTTCACCACTCGTCGCCAATGTAGCAGCTCCAAATAAAAACGTCTTGTTCCGATGAGTAGTTGAATATGAATGACGTTTTATTATCAGTATCCTGGCTTGGCCTACTATCATTACATTCTTAAATCTATGCCTACTACAATAAGAACTTACAACCACTGGTATACCCGTTGTTTAGTTGTATACAGCTAAAAAGGCGAAATAACGTGCCTATGGTTTTTTTCATGATTTGTTTTCCGTCGATCTTGTTTTCCGTGCTAAGCACCAATGCTACCAACGCCAGCTCCTACACCTGGACCCTACCTATCGACCCATCAACTCATAAACCGGGGACCAACGGCTTTACTTATTAGGCGTGATCAGAGATGTTATGCCTCAGAACATCCCGGCGGCGCCGACTGGGATTGAAACCAGGCCTGCTGGGGTGAGAGGTAATCACGGGGGAGGAAGGACAAGAAAGTTGGATAATAGTAAATGTACATGCGCCAAATACAAATGCAAATTCGTTCTTTGCAGATTTAGGATCATATGTAAATGGTCACCCAAGGAAGGATAGAATGGAAATATTGGGAGGTTTTAACTCACATATAGGAAAAGAAGATTCAGATGAAGATGATATGAGTAGGTTTGGAAAGCACATCGGACATAAAAAGACAAATGAAAATAGTGAGTTTATGAAAGTATTTTTGCGTATGTAAAAAATTAACATTATTTCGATGCGATTTGATAAATCCTTGTTATGTACATGGACAAATGAAAACAAATCATCTCAAAACGCGGAAAAAATCTCAAATCGTCGAATCAAAAATATTTGAGGTAAATTTAAACGTAAACTCAGTTTGTTCTGGCCACAAACATAAACTAGGTTGATTTTAAACATATTGCATGTTAGAAGTCATATAGGTAGATGTTTAAAACAAAAATAATTTTACGTTTATTTTAAAAATATTCGTGTTGAAAATAAACGTGAATATTTGTGTTTGATTTGGCAACTAGGGGAAATGGCTCTAATGTTGGCCTATGGATCTAAGATTGGGCCCATCGCTAAAAATCTGCTATTTATCAATTTTATCTAGATGAACGCGTTATTGGGACGGTACTAATGTATATTTTTGGTCGCTATTGCAAATTTAGTAAATTGCTGAATTTATGTATGGGCCAGATTAGGGCTATTTAGGCCTGAAGGGGTCGTCAATAATTTAAATCCCTTAGAACAAAAAATTAAATTTCTAACTTTATTTTAACTTATTATAACTAATTTTTAACCGTTTAGAAAAATAAAATGTTGCACAAAGTTGTAGATCTTATCATTTCCACAAATTTTGCTCAAAACATCAATGGTTTAAATCGTCGTTTTCATTGAGATATGAAATATTTTTTTAAAGAAGGTCCCTTCAAATCGTTTTTTCAACCATAACATTTTTATTTGATTTTTTCATGGCATACTATGTTAAAAAGAGTTTTTTCATTTATCAAAACAAGCAACTTTCTAGAATACTTCAACACGCTACCTTACAAATGCAACATGTTAAGAGCGTTTATGTGTTCAAAACATACGATATTCTGGTGGATAATTTGCAAATTGGGGCAACCAGTTTTTAAACTAATGACGTGATAAAATTTTACGTGCTTGATGAATATTTTCATGTAAAAATATCAGAGGGGAAGTTATTTTTCATTCCAGGACAGCTAATTTAAAATCACGGTTTTTAGATCAATTTTACTTAAAATTGGCTCTTTTCTGAGCTTACTTTTATACATGGTGGGTTTTGGTTCAAGTTTGGTTCAGGTCACCTCTCCGGGGGCATCCGGGAAATGCCCGGAAGTGGCTAATGTGGTCATAGATACTTAATATGGACACCGAGGGTTGACTGGTAGATGTAAATAGATGTTAATATTTCCAGAAGAATTTCGATGCGGGAAATTTTGTGTGCAATTTTCGCAGAACACATTTCGCGGTGGCTAGGGAAAGGTTTTTTTTTTAAAGGAGAAAAACATTGCACACGAGTTGAGAGGATAGTTAATTTCACTGAATTTGAGAATGAAGACCAAATCGTAAAAAGAACCGTTGGTAAGTTATATATTTTTGTTCAACCGTTATCACTCAATTTAAATTGGTTTAAAGTTCTGACCGCATTCAGAACCCTCCATCAGAGCCGAGTCCAGGGAAATGGCAATCAGCCATATTCTTGTTTTCGTTCGAACCGTATTTTCATACAAAAAAAAAATATGTTTGTATGGAAAATACGGTTCGAACGAAAACAAGAATATGGGTGAATATATCGATTGATTATAGGCGAAGACAACAAATCAAGAAGACTGGTAACTTTGCCAGAATCCAAGCGACAGATACAGTAGCGCTGCACTTGAGTGAAGGTGGAAGCAATGCATAGAAAAATGAGCAAATACACAAACCCTTCTTCTGCACGCAGAAAAATTTACCGTCGAAACAAAAATATTTGAGGTAAATTTAAACGTAAACTCATTTTAAAAATATTCGTGTTGAAAATAAATGTGAATATGTTTGATTTATTTGAAAACTATATGCGATCAAAAATAAACAAACATATTTTGAAATTATAATAGCATTTGAATGTGGCATAAAACAAAATAAAATAGATAGCAAATAAATGGAAATCTGTAGACAGGGCATCTAAATTCCTGCGATGATGGAAAGTCTGTGGATGTTTGGATCCAGGGGACCATCGGGGTGGGTGTCCGATCCGATCCAGTTCAGTAAAACCGATGAAACTTTGTGATGTTAGCGTCGTTTTGTCGTTTCTGACGCTGGTCCTCATACCGGCCTCTTTCTAAGTTTGGTGTTCGGGGATGATCTGTTTTTCTTTCGACGTCGGGTGGATGGTGAGGATGATATGAGGATCGGCATCAGAAACGACGGATTGACGTTAATATTGTGAGGTTCCATCGGTTTTGTCGAGCTTGGAACACCTGCTTGCGTGGGTTTCCGGACCCTCTACTTCGGTTTCGCCGCTTACAGGCCGTTTTCGGTTAAGTTTGCCGAATGTAAACAAGAAGGAAAAAAGGACAGGCTAAAAATTGATTGCCCACATTATGTATTGTTGAAATAAACATGCTTTTGAATTTAATTTAAACATACATATTTTTGTTGAAAACATATTTTTAATTTACTTTGACCTATTCATATTTTTATTTAATAAACATATATATTTTTAACTTCAATGAACAAAATTTGGTTCGTTCGAAGCGTTTGTATGAGAAAATGGAAGAGTTGCCAGTCTTCTTGATTTGTTGTCTTCGTTATAGGCCAATTTTAGGTATTGGTGTACCATTCGCATTGGAAATGGTTTTTCATGCTGTGTATTAACTAAAAATATAGATTTTTAACCGGCATCCAATAAAAATCTAATCACAGATTTTGCAAGTAAGACAAGTCTTCCGGAAACCCGGAATATCTCCGGTGTCCGGCGAACACGGTTAGTTTCGTGGTTACTCCATAAAACAATAACGTGCTTGCTGCGCACGTTGAATGCAGAAAACGTACGCGCTCACGCATTCACAGTCGATATGCGATCCCATTTCAAACCCTGGTTATAACATTTGATAATGCTATCTTGGTATGTTTTGTTTTTTATTGTAATAACATAAGTATTATAACATGTTATTACTCTACAATCTGAACTATGCATTAGGTTCATTCTACGTACGTTTGTGCAGTTTTCAAAAATAAAATATATTTGATGTAAATTTTAAGGGTGCCCACTTTCTAAAGACTAAAGTATATCAAGTAAAGGATTGTGATTGATTTGAAATAAATGGAAACAAAAATAAACACTTGTTTGATTCTTAATTATTGTTGACGATAAATTTGTTGCGACCTTACACGTGGGTGCCTGTAGCCCAGCCAAATAAATGTAAAGTTGAGAAATTGATTAAACTTTCGTCCTGACGAATTCCTTTCTGCTGTTGTAGGTGATCAAACCAACGAGATACATTGAGATAGTACTCCTTGTCCAAGGGCTGTAGATTGACCTTTAAAAACATTCAATTGATAAGAGGTTGCTGATGTAAATATTGTATGAAAATCTTACTAGGGTATCCTGAATAGCATAAAATACTACAATATCTGCAAGGCTCAGCTTGTGATTGACCAAGTAGGAACGAACTTCCAGGTGTTTGTTGAGCTCCTTAAAAAAATACACAAAAAAATAAAACAATGTTTAAATTTCAAACATTTGAGAACATAGTAAATTTTCTTAAAAATTACAATCCGAACATAAACCAAAATGATGTTAACATAAAGTTTACTGATGCCATAAATGTTCTGTTACTTTTTTTCATGGATCTCAAACTGTAAAAAAAAAAAAAACCTATTAAATATCGATTCTAGGGGAAATTTTTAAAAATACCTTCCCCTTGGCTAGTTTTTGCACCTTACTGGGTGGGCGGGCTTAATTTCATGCTAGTGAAGTGTTGGAGACGGTGGGTTTATGGCCGGCGTTGCTGGTTCATGCCGCGATAGAATGGCGCCATGGGCAGGCAGTGGGGATTACTAAGCTTCCCCTCTCTGATGAACCACTGCATGAGAAAACCAAAGATCTAGTCCAGCAGTGATAGTATCACACTTGTTACTCCTTTGATTGAGAGCCGCATCGTAGTACGCTTACGTATAGGCACTGACGTTGGGTGTGATACTGGCGGGTTTTGCCGCAAATCACTCTTATTTTATTTATTTTTACGCAGATAGATTTATTTGGGTTTGCAAGGGAATTATACTATTGAAATATTTCAGAAAGTGCCCAACGGTGCTCCTTCTATTTGCGTGACAAGCTTTCATTATTGTTTTCATTGAAGTATTACCAACAATCAATACGAAACTAAAGATTTTAAATTGGCTCACTACTTGACTAGCCTATTGGTCCCAAGCAAACGATTAACGTATCCCATTCTAGTCGAAATTCTAGTACTACGCAATGTTTGTTTTGATTCGCTATGAAAGTTTGACAGATAAAATGAGGGGTTATTGGTTTTTCTTATGTTTCGAGGGGTGAATCGATTAGCTTGGGACCGAAGAGAGTACCAGAGCTGAGGCAAAAAGTTGAGCACGTTATTTTGGGACCTTCTAGTCTTAGAGTTACCTCTATGGTATTACTCAGGGAACAATGTTAAACATCATTTTTGTACATGGTATTGTAACTAATCTTATATGTGCTTCATTTTGATTTGGGATACATGTTTGAACTATGACTAGGGATTTCCACTGTGGCGTGCTTCTATTGTGATATATCCATACGTAATTCTGCGGGACGACATAGTGGAAACGTGTGAGCGTAGATATACTAAATAGGTATAGGTCAAAATCAAAAGTACTTCAAACACGTTTAACTTTAGATTACAAGCACAAGTGATTGATTAGGTGAATTAGAGATTTCAATAATTTATTAAATGAGACTAATGAGATATCATATTCATCAAACGAACTTAAATAAGAAAATTCAGAAAGTCTAATAACATTAGGTAGATTAACAAAAGAATAAGGATACGGGGAGTCCGCTAACCTTTAAAGTTATATAAATTAATAAATTTTCCTATTTAGTCTTGAACTTCAATAAGAAAACGCAAGCAGACCAATAACAAGCAGCATTAACAAGGAGAGGAATAGTTTAGGAAATAAGTTAAAGTAGAGGTATGTGACAATTAATAACTTTTAATCTTTTGTAGGTTTTGTTTTCCCCTGAGTTCATTGTACTCGATTACTATATTATTCTCTCAATACGCGAAATCTTTGATATATACGGTTAAAGTATTTGAGTTACCTTATTTCTTAGTGTTCAAGTACTTACATTTGTAAACAACAGTCAATGTTAATCTATGAACTAAATCCTACGTGACTGAAAAATAGATCATTCCTTATGTTGTATTGATGCATGTTTAACTTCTCGCGGCTGTCGGAATCAAAGTGCATACGTCTACGTAGGTTACGCAGAAGTAATTCGCAATTCGGTAGAGTAGAGCTTACCAATTTTTTTTTTTTTTTTTAGCTTATGTAGTTCGGTTGTCTTGCACGGCTCTCGGAATTCGCGCGGTTTTCGTAACTTACATAATTTAGATATTTCGTTCAAAACGGATTTACTTATTCAATCGGTTTACTACGCGGCTGTATCTACGCGCTCACGTTGCAGCATTTTTTTTTCATAACTCTCTTGAAACAATACATACGGAATCCAATGTTCTGATTCAAAGCAGAGCACTCAGTAACGAATTCTAAATAACTCATTCAAATTTCAAACTATTTCCAGCTTACACATTCCATATCATTTTGTAGCATCGTGGCCATCTCAATCCAAAAAACATTATCCCTTCCCATGGCGATCATGTAGCCTGCATGTGGCGAGTCAGCCATTACCCCTCCTTTACTATCGGCCTTGGATTGACTTGCGCTCTTACTGCCCCACCCTGCGCTGCAAAATTTATTTATTTATTTATTTATGTCGTCAATCAATCGTAGACCAATTACAATGAATGCTTATTAACTATGTCTTAAATATTATTGCCTGGCTAACCTTGAAAAGAATGCTTTTTTTAGTGTTATTTTATTCATTGTTACATCAATTGATTGGGAATATGCGTTATAGCAGGTCATAATTCTATTCAAAAGCCCATTTTTAGCATAGTTTGTTCTTTGATTGTTAATGTAAAACAAATTCCTAATCCTCAGAGAGCGAGTGGGAACATAAAAATTTATATTTTCTAAAATTTCCGGAACATTAACTCTTTGAGCAATAACATCGTTTATAAATGTTACCATGGCAAAGTCTCTTCGTTTTTTCAGTCCATCTAAACTTATTAATAAACATCGCGATTCATAAGATGGAAGTGGTAATCTCGTCCAACCTGCGGTTTATATATGTATCCTGATACGGAGCCCACACTACGCTACAGTATTCAAGAAGAGGTCTCACATAGGCCACATAAAATGTTTTAATAGTGTAAGGATCATTAAAGTGCAGACTAAATCTTTTGATAAACCCTAGCATGTTACTTGCTCTATATATAATGTTATTGTAGTGATCAACAAATGACAACTTAGAGTCGAGAATAATGCCTAAGTCCCTTACTTGATTACACCTTTCAACTGTTTTCTCACCAAGGGAAATTGTGTCATTTACTATGGCATGCTTTCTTGTAAACGATATAGAATTACATTTACTAACGTTAATCTCTAACAAATTCTTCTTACACCAAGTGTAAAAAATGTCAACTTCTTGCTGAAATAGCTGCATATCAGATGCTTTAGATATTTCCATGAAAAGTTTCATGTCGTCTGCATATATTGAAACATGAAGCAGCTTCAAAATGTATTCTATATCATTGACAAATAAGATGAATAGTAGTGGACCAAGATGCGAACCTTGTGGCACACCAGATGTTACATGAACGACAGACGACAATTTTCCTTCAAATCTTACTCTTTGCGTTCTCCTTGACAAGTATGACTCGATCCATTGCAGTAGCCTGGTATTAAAACCTAACTTGGACAACTTGAAAATCAACAGTGGTATATCCACTTTATCGAATGCTTTACTAAAATCAGTATATAATGTTTCTACGTAATTTCCCTTATCCATTACATTTAAAGCATATGTTACAAAATGTATCAAATTAGTGGCTGTAGATCGACCTTTAACAAATCCATGTTGTTTACTAGTAATGAGAGATTTAACTTGGGAAAATATGTTGGCATTAATGATGGACTCGAAAAGTTTAGGAATAGTAGATAATATAGCAATCCCGCGATAGTTTGTGATATCCGATTTTTTCCCGTTTTAAAAAATAGGGATTAAAAAAGATTCCTTCCAAATTGGAGGCAGCATTCTGGCGTTTAACGATGAATTAAACAACCAAAATAAAGGCTTTACTAATTCATTTGAAAGTGTTTTTAGAAGAATAGGTGGTAAACCATCTGGACCAGCGCCTTTTGACGTATCCAAGGACTCAAGAGCATGCAAGATTTCTTTGAGGGATAAATTGTTAACTGTAATATCCGTCATTGGCTCCGGAAGGTATGAAAAATATTCATAATCGCGATCATTCTCGTCATGAGTTGTGTAAATGTTCTGAAAAAAGTCCGCAAATAAATTACTGATCTCACCAGATGTGTTCCCGGTTCTGTTATCTAACTGCATTTTAGAAGGAAAGTTCTTCGATTTTTGTCTCTCTTTAACATAGTTAAAAAATGATTTTGGATCTGTTTTAATATTATTTTCTACCTTGGTATTATGTTCTTCATATGCATTTTTCATTTCTTCATTCAGTTGATCGCAGACTTCTAGATAAAATGTAAGATTTTCTTAACTATGATTTCTTTTATAAATCTTATGTGCTTTCTGTTTCCTATTTTTAAGATTGATAACCTTTTGTCCACTGCCTGTTCTATGTCAAGATGACGTATTGTAGTTTGCCAGTCAATACAGGCTAATTTTTCTTTGAGAAGTACATAGTTTGCTTTATGAAAGTCGAAGTATGTTTCAGATAAATTGTTATCCAACGTTACCGTTTTTTCATGTATGAATATAGAGTATTCAATAGCAGTGTCGAACACTTCGTTTTTCCAAAGAGGGGTGGGTGACTCTGATACCCAGAAATCATCAGTCATATTAGTGAATAACAAATCTAAGTAGCAGTTATTTTGATTTTTTATGTGATTTATTTGGTTGAGTCCAATTTCTGCACTTTTGTCGAACAGAGTACGAAGTGTTTCATTTTCTCCTATAATCGGTATCAACAAAGATTCGTTGTCGTCATCAACAATAAAATTCACTGAGCGTTGGTTAAAATCTCCGTATATGTGAACATTTGCTTCCGCCTCACATTTCGAAATAATATTTTCAGCTAGTTTAAAAAAAATTTCGTATGCATCTTGCTTTGCATATTCTGGAGGAAAATATACTGTCGCAAAAATATGAACTTGATCTCCAATGAAACATTTGACCCAAACGTGATCAAACTCCTTACACTTACAAGATGATATTTGTTCAGATTCATAGTCAACACTAACTGCTACTATGACACCACCACCACTTTTTTTGTTGGATAACGTTTTATCACGATCATCCCTAAAAACATTGAATCGATCACCGAAAACTTCTTCGTTCTTTACTCCAGCATCCCAGCTGGTTTCCGTTGC